ATGTAGTAAATGACTCCATTGTTCCTGTAGTTCTTCGTTTCACTTGTTTTATTGCACGTAACGACGCATTATCCAAAATATCGGAGAACATTTCCTTAGTACGACTGAATCGCGACTAACCTAGCTACGCGGCCGATGTTCGTTTCTGGGCATATCGCGGAGACACGCGCCACGCCCCCGTTTCACATCTATTCCCTTCTATGATCTGAATGAAAAAACGAAGGTGAACCACATCGAATTGGACTCTATAGACAACCAATAAATAATAGCTAAGCTAAAAAATATATGGGTAGCGAAATCCAATAATGATTTATAAAAAGATAGCATTTTCTTTGTCAAATTAATGAGAAAATTTATATTAAACTTCGAACCATAATCCAATTCTTAGAACCCTTTGTGGCAGATAAATAAGATAGACAAACAAAGGCCGAATAAATTAATTTATTTAGAATTAGATTTGTCCTGTAAGCGACGTTGGCTATTATTGGGTCGAGCTAACGTTGTATTATTTTAATACGGTGTGTGAGTGTGACATTTGAAATTAACTACTTTTTATAAATTATTTGTATAATTTTACAACTTAGAGCGTTTATAATACAAAAAGTTAAAAAAAAATGTGTTTAACGTTTGAAAATTCTTCAAAATAATTGAAACAAAAAAAAAATTTAGTCTGCGCCAGTAAAATCTAGTTCAACTTTTGTAACCGAATAAACTTCGAATAAGTATCTATTTATCTAATGATATGAACAAAATTATCTTAGACTGACTAAGGCTAAATTGCACCACCTTTTTAACGGTAACTTTAACCTTATCCGATGTTTTTTGTAGTATGGAGTTTAACAGACTTTTGACGTTTAACGACGTTATATTTAAAGTAAGATGGTGCAACCAGGCTGGGTTTACTAACTCGATTTCAAACTTTGTTTACGAAATTCACAGTTTTTACTCGCTTCAATTATATATTTTTGTAGTGCCAGAAGCTTCGAAAAACAAGGAGATTCCCTGAGAATGAGTGAGCCGTTATTTCTCCAACAAGCGCTGTTGTAATCAAAGGCCACGATCTTATATTTGCCCTATAAATTCAGCGGAGCCGCAATATATCTGTAGGGATTAGTTCCATCGACAACGCTATATTTTATATCGCCAGCTTACTGAACACGAAAAGCATTGAAATGTCAAAATAAATTCGATTTGGTGTCAATTTGTGGATCAAACCAATAAAATTAATTGAAGTATTTGACCGCCTCTGTGGTTTACAGGTAAGATCACCTGCTTCAGACTCAGAGGTACCGGGTGCGATTCCCAGTGGGGGCAGATTTTTCTGTTCGGTTAAGTTGTAGCTACCACCGTCTTACCTAAGTTTGTGGCCACAATAGCAAAAATAACAGCATTGATCATTACATTCCATGTGTGATACAGCCTGATAAAAAAATAAAAAATATCTAGAGCATCACAAAGAATTATTAATTAAATTTTCACGATAGCACAGGCCGTGCAACTCAATTTTACCCACTATATGACTGACAGTTTGATATGCTTTCAGGATAACCTTTTGGATATTCATATATATTTTATTCCTGAAATCTTATTAAACTATCACAACAATGTAAAAGCACTTTTAAAATCTTGCAGAAAGTAAACTTTTACCTACTTCTATAAAATGATTTCGATTCGATGTTGTTAACACTTTTATAGCGCCTTAAACTAGACGCACTGGTATTAAAGGGACAAATTCATTTCCAATATTAGCTTTTTGTGTCCCCTCTTTCCGAAGAGTCTAAGAATCCTACGTCTTCTAGTGGACAATATTTTAACATGCCCTGTAGTTTTATTCACTCATCATAAGTTTAAACACCTACGTTTAAGTTAAATGCAAATCAAACGACAATTTTTGTTTTATCTAAGAAAGATAAACACCATTCATGCTTCCTTTATTTTCCGTTTACGATCAAATAATTACAAAACATTTTTTTACGTTCATCCTAAATCCAATATAATGACAAGTAACGTTTTCCTTGGGCAAATGTTTCTTCCTTTTCATAATTTTCCTTAATGCCTTTTCTAATGTTGAGTAATTGCTCGCTTTATACATCACTGCGGGCTATTATTAAGTCCTTTAGGACACCTGTGTCCATTTTTAGAATCCACCAAATTATCTAAATGAGGAAGATTTTTCATTGCAACTTGGCTTGTTCTGCGTATAAATCACTGACTGACTCACTCGTCACGCAATCTCAGAAACTACAAGTGCAAAGAGTGTCAAATTTTGCATGGGGGTTCCTTTTAGAACGTAGGTACTCTCTAAGATGGGATTTTGCAAAATTCAACCCTAAGGGGGTAAAAAGGGATCTACGCGTATTGTATTCACTATTGCAGGAGAAACATAAATGCAGTTCATTGTTTAAAACGAAAATATTGGTACAGGATTAGTAAAGTTCACGCCTGGTGGATGCACTCAACATATATAGATTTTACATAGGGAAAAGCTTTGTAGTCTATAATAGACTACATAAATATAAATAAAGGAATAAAGGAAATTGACTATATAGTCAATAATTGACTATATAGTCAATTTCCTTTATTCCGTCCCTTTAGCTGAGATTTTACTGGTCGCTACAAGTAAAGCTCATTAAGACTCGGAAAGGGATCGCACCGTATCGCCTTAAGGTTCGGACAAACCAACGCGTGCAGCGATGGCGATAGCGATGGCGACCACTGCGCGTGCAAAAGTTGTTTCACACTGCCGCGACCGCGATGGCGATCACTGCGCGTGCAGGTTGTCACTGTCACCACAATTGTCTTGTCACGAATATTGTCAATCACGCCTATTCGGCAAAATGGAAACTGAATTAAATGATTTGTTTGGAGCTTTTGATGCAATTGAGACAGTGGAAACACTTTTTCACTCAAGTTTATTCAGGCGGCCATATTATATTATNTTAATGACTAGACGTTTGATGACTTTAATTAGGTTTTTATTTATGGCATACTTAGAATTGCTCTAGGGCCTTTCAGAAAGCTGCAGACATGTACATTCTCAATTATTTTGTTCTGCAGATAATATCCCAATTTTATTTATGAAGTTGAAGAAGCAGGTTCGTGAGAAAACTAGAATAATTTGTTTATTACATAAAAATAAATTCTGATATTGATACTTTATTCTAAAACCTTTTTTATTATTCAAGTATGTTATGAATAATTAATTTTTAATTGTGTAAAAACTTTTTAACAGATCCTACTTACTATTTATTACATCGATTTTAAAAAACAGAAACGTCACAGTGACAAATGTCGCGATTATCGCTGATCGCTGCGTGCAGACGCTGCATAGATCGCCGCGACCAATGACAGGACGCGTTGATGTGAACACATCGCTACAAATTCATACACGCTGTCTGGTCGCCATCGCCATCGTCATCGTGCACGCCGGCTGCACGCGTTGGTCTGGTCTAACCTTTAGCGAGCTGTCATCGTCTTTCGCGCGCTGTCAATCGCGAGGCGAGGCGTTTACGTTACGGTGCGGATTAGTGTGCGTTGCAGTATGGAGTTTTATACGTTTTACGAAAATCAAACAAAATTATTAATAATAAAGACTTCCGTAACTCTAAGCTAGCTGAGATTATACTGTCGCTACCAGATATTGAATACCCATCTCAACTTTTAATCTCAACGCATAATGAAACTGTCCTTTAAAAATATTCGAGGAAAGCAAATTAATTGAACCGTACATTGTAACGACAAAAATTGAAATAAAAGATATTCCACAACTTGAGGGTACGTTGTTTTCGTGAATGGCCAGGATTATGGCATTGTGTTTTTGCAGCACCTGGAAAATTACACTTATACCGGTATTAAGGAAACCAGCGGCCCCGTTTTAACCTGAATTCAGTATTACTTTTTGCAAATGGCCGCTTGTTACTGATACGAAAATGAATCGCGATGATCTTGGGCGAAGGTTTTCTTTTGTTCTAAAAATGTTTTATGTTGAGTTGAACTATGTCTTGGAGATTGATGAGTCTAATATTTGAGTGTTTGACATACGAAATTTAGAGTTGCAATAAAAATATTATATTATTTTACATCTGAAATTTCCCTAGTTTGCTTAATAATTACCATAGAGCAACTCAAACATAAATTAGGTACCTTTTCAAATTTCGTTTCTGTGAGGTCTGTACACAATTATTTTTCCAAAGCAAGAATGTCTTTTTAATAGTAAGGTCCTACTAAGACAATAATGTGGTGAAATTCGTCAAGAGCACATCGAAATCTAAACAAGGACTAATTTTCAAAATTTCCGGAAAATTTTCTAGGTAAAACTTCCAAATGGCTGGACTATTGCTTGGAATGTTAATATAAACGGAAAATACTTACCTTTATTTCTCAGGAAAATTATTCCAGAGATTCCGCTTCTAATTCAATTATTTTCATTTAATCAATCTTTATTTAGATTAGATATCTTTATTTAGATTAGATTACCTAAGTATTAATATTAAAGCTATATTGCTCAGCGTTTTAAGAAGAGAGAAAATATTAATCCCGAATTCAAGAGAAAATGTTTAGCGAAAGTATATTACTCGAAAATTTCGATTATTAATTCTTTTATGATGATGATCCTTTAGATAGGCACTTACTTAAGTAATTAGTAGGTATTATCCATCTATTGAACGATGGCACGTGTAGTCAGCTTCTAATTATTAATTAAAGGTCGTTTATCTGAAAACAACGATACCTAGTAATAGGAATTCTAAAGTAAGCAATCGTGTTTGTAACGTTGATTCGCCGAAGTAAGTTGATAGTTGTCTCAAAGCTTTTTCTGAAAATTTACATTTTGAGGCCTTTATCTAAGGACTTTAAAATCTCAAGTTACGTTAGTAATCTAAACTTTTTAGGTTCAGAAAAATTACACATTTTCGTGCGTTCTCTGCATAACCCCTAAAAAACACATCTGCTTACGTTTTGGTTAAAAGGCCTGTCTGTAAAGTTTCCAACGTTCCCAAAAACTACATGCTGGCACGAGGCTTGTTCTGTGGATAAAAGGTGTGTTAAATAGGGGTGCGATTACACTGGCTATTTTTTAGCAATCCTTGCTCAGTAATAGCAGACTCGTTAAGAGCAATAAGTGAAGCGATTACAATAAATTGCGGTAATTGTTTCGGCAATCGATATGTGCTTCAAATTGCTAGATATTAAATAAATAAATAATAAATATCCTTGGACATTTTTACACTGCGCCTCTAGTCCCAAACTAAGCAAAGCTTGTACTATGGGTACTAGACGACGGGATAAACATACTTATACATATACTTTTTTTTTGTAAATACATACATATTATACATAGAAAACACCCAGACCCGTCACAGAAATTAAAATTCATCATTTCAATTTCTGCCCGGCCGGGAATCGAACCCGGGACCTCTCGGCATAGTAGTCCGTTCTGAACCACTACACCAAACGGCCGACATATTCATATTCATGCTATCAGCCATTAGGACAGGTAGTAAGTAGGTACTTAGTTTTATTCGTTTGAATTTTATTCAGTTCAGCTTTTTGACAAAATCCTGAGTTTATTTAGAAAAATATCGAAAGTTGAAGAAAGTTTATAAAAACAGATACCTTAAAGATACATGGGAACTCCTTTGAACTCACAGGAGCTAGTCTTAACAATACGACATGTTAATTCCTTACAGACTCTTTACTCTTCATATGAATACTCGTATTTTTCACCTACACATTCATTGTTTGAAAAAAGAGTGAAACATGAATACCAGTTTCCATTATCACACATAAATCACGGTGCTCGGAAAGGCGCGTCACGTGAAAAAAAGATTTTTTATGAATGTCTCATACCGCTTTAAACTGAGCTATACGGCCAAGGTTACACTAGCGACGTGGCAGGTGACTAATGGAAGTTAATAAATGTAAGCATTATACAAACAGAAAGTGGAAGGGAGGCATCTATAAACCCAACAATACATAGATTTGAGATTTTTGGAATATGTTACGTTATAATATTAGTTACAAATATTATAATATCTACCTACTTAGTGTGGATTCGACCAAACAAGAGTAAATGGCATTAAGCTCGCCTTTTTGTACAGAACGTTGTTGTGTGTGCAATAAAGTCTTTAAATAAATAAATAAATATCTTAGAATAAATCGTCAGTTTTGACATATTTCCCATACTGAAACTGTCAGTGTGCCAGTTATACCAGGGGTTATTCTCGGATCGAATCGGGCCTTAGTATTTTAAATGCAAACATCGTGATAACTAACTGAACCTACTACGAGTTTGAGGCTAGATGACAAAATTTCAATTATTTGTCCGTCAGACAGATAATTAGAAAATATTAGACTCATATTTTTTATTTTCTTTCATAATTAAATAATAACAGTGCTACATCGAGTTCGATATCGATCTCATGATCGATACTATCGATTTCATTACCCAGTCATCATAACTATTGTTCACGCAAAAACTGTTACCTACTAGGCAGATTTTAATAAAACTTAGCTTTGTTGAAGGTGTCCTTGGATGCGTGGGTGTCAAGTCCTGAAGATTTTACTTGCCTACTAGCCTACCTTAAAATAAAATCACGCGTAACACCTGATGTGCACTCAGCCTAAAAGTTAGAGAGCAGTTTTTATTACACTGGTAAAGTAGAGGTATCTACCACAGACGTCGCCACTAGCCATAGTTTTATGAGTTTAACTGCCAACTGCTATCTGAGTTTTTATGTTTTTGAATAATTCCATCCTCTAGGAAGTACATTAATACTATTACTGGTGTTTTGGTTTTTATATGAGAAGTTATTGGGAGTTTCTTGAAGTTATTCGTTTTGTGTATTGTTTATATTCGGTATAGTAAAATACGATTTCGCAAACTTGTTTTTATTTAGACATGAAAAGCACAAGATTTTTTATTTTTAAATTGATAATGAAATTATAAGCCCTAATTTCACACCCACTCATGACCATGAGAATCTGATAAAAACACGTAAAAAAAAATTCAAAATTTCTTTAATAAGTTATTAGATAGGGCATAAGTTCTTACCTGACACAAGAGTTCATCAATTTCTTTTTCTTTTTTTTAACCACAACGAGGAAGCTGATGGTAAGTGATGATCAGGTCGAAGGTGGAAGCGAGCTTCACCCGGAATCCTCAACCACGGAGGAACTGGCTATCTTACCTCGAACTGCCGGAACACAACAATGCTGTTAACATTGTTGTTATGGCGACAGACTTAGGTAAGATGGTGGTAGCTAGCCAGGCGGACTTAGAACAAGCCCTACCACCAATGAAACCGAACAGAAAAATCTGCCCCCACTGGAAATCGAACCAGGGACCTCTGCGTCTGAAGCAGGTGGTCTTACCACTAGACCACAGAGGCGGTTATTATAATTTAATAAAAATATATTTATATTAAAACACACTATTACAATTAACGTTGGTCTCTGTTTATATAATAATAATGTCACCAGCGACCAGCCCATGGTTTGTTCTAAAGTATATTAATTTTACCCACGTGACCAGGGTCAAATACATGTAGAACTTAGATAATTGACTCCAGGAAACTACCACACGTTCGGAAGAAGGCATGCAACTGCAGTTCCATATTCCTGAGGGAATCAGGGAACAACGAACTCGGTCAGTTATTTCCGCCCAGTTAACCCCACTTTCCCATCTAAGTTGGCCGCGTTTGTTTTTATGACAAACATTTGGTCGGTTTTTTTTTTTTTTTTTATCCACAACGAGGAAGCTCTTGGCCTGTATCTCACCTGATGGTAAGTGACGATCAGGCCGAAGGTGGAAGCGAGCTTCACCCGGAATCCTCAACCACGGAGGAACTGGCTATCTTACCTCTAACTGCCGGAACACAACAATGCTGTTAACATTGTTGTTATGGCGACAGACTTAGGTAAGATGGTGGTAGCTAGCCAGGCGGACTTAGAACAAGCCCTACCACCAACCAAACCGAACAGAAAAATCTGCCCCCACTGGGAATCGAACCCGGGACCTCTGCGTCTGAAGCAGGTGGTCTTACCACTAGACCACAGAGGCGGATTGGTTTAAAGAAATTGTTTCAAACCTTAATATTAGCAGATATTTTATGAAAAAATATTTTAACTGTGAAAATTATGAAAGTCTACCAATTGTTTGGACAAAAACCTCCTGAACTATTAAAATAAAAAAAAAATAAAATAAAATATGTTTATTTCGAACCAGGGTCCATATAGTGTTAGTAACAATAAATACAATAAATACTCAAACAATAAATAATCCATATAGTGTTAGTAGCTTAAAACTATGTTAGTATTAATTAATTAAATAATATAAATTATTATTAATTATTATTATTAAAGACATTATTATTATTATTATTAAAATTATTATAATTAATTTTAGTGTCTTTGACGAGATGGACGCGAGTCCAGTGTTGCATAATAGCACTGTCTGCGTCCAGTCTTGCCGCGACCGCCATCAGGAGGCTGTTGGCGCTGCCCCGTACTCGCTGCAGTAGGGACGCGATGCGCTTTCTAATGATGGCCGAGAGGCTATCTACTTGCGCCGCGGCTAGCATCCCGGATGCGCTGCAGTGTCTTGGCAGTCCCCTCAGCCCCCTGAATGCATTATTGTATTGGGTGCGCAGGACACCGTAAGCTCTTTGGGTATAATTCGTCCACAGGCTGCAAGTGTAAAGTGAGTGACAATAAGCTTTAAATAGCGTTATTTTAACATTGTTGGTGCAACGTGCAAACCTGCGGGACAGCATATTAGCCCTAATGCACAGCGCCCTACGCTCCCTCTCTATATCAAGGTCGTCTTTAAGCGACTCGGTGACCCAATGTCCCAGGTACTTGAAGCTCTGTACTTGTTTTAACGGGGTGCCATTAAGTTTCAACGTCGGCACGTTATACGTCTTATTCTTAGCCCTAAAAACCAGCAATTCACTTTTAGCCACATTGTACCTGAGCCCATGTGCCTCCACATAACGTTCACAGATGGATATCAGTTTCTTGAGAGCACTGATCGATGGGCACAGTAGCACCATGTCGTCAGCGTTAGTGTTATTTTGACTATTAGTGTCATTTTGAGAATTTAATGGGAAATCACTCAACCTACGTGATTTTGGTTGAATACGCGGGCTACCCGATTAAAAATTGACGTCAAATTAATTATTGCTAATGTAAGAGTTATTATTATTGCATCGATATTTGAAACATTGTGATTGTCCCATATCTTATTATAAATAGTAGGTATATTTGACTATATAGGGATGATAAATAAATAGTAATAATGGTCATCAGATAAGAAAACTGTTTCATTACATATCATATAGTTTTCCTAACCATCGATTTACTAAGTGATTAGATAAATATGATATTATCGAGAAGTGACTGCGGTACAAAAATGCCTTGTGTATTGTTGGCGATGATGGCGTTAGCATATGCAACGGTTCACGACCGCGGCGAATCAGACGGTGCGTACGAGTACGAGCACCCACAACTGAGCATACGGTCGTCCGCCGTCGAGCACAATCCCCAGCATTGGGCTGACGACGCAGCGGCTGGTATTGAGAAACGACTGCGGCACCGCAACAACCGTAATGTGGCGCGCAACATTGTCATGTTTCTCGGTGACGGCATGTCGGTCCCTACGATAGCGGCCGCACGCATCCTACTCGGTCAACGTAACGGCCAGACCGGCGAAGAGGCGCAGCTTTCTTTCGAAACATTCCCCACTACTGGCTTTACTAAGGTGCATATCTGGTATTTAGTACAAGTAGATACTAGTTTTTTCTCTTCTTAGTAAATGACATAATTATATCATCAACATAAGACCTCGACTGATTCCATATTTACGTCATAAATAAGCATAATCCTTTTCTGAAATTTAATCAATTTACGAGTATGTACGAAAACTTATCAAAACTGGTCCAGTTATTTTAGATTGGTGCATTTCTATGATTATTAGAACTATAATTGCTTTGTCAAGTTATCATTTGCGGAATGATTTCATCAACATTTGTGAAACACCTTAAACATTTATTTCAGACGTATTGCCTGGACGGCCAGATCCCAGATTCGGCTTGCACAGCGACAGCGTACCTTTGCGGCGCGAAGACTAACTTGGGCAATATCTGCTTGAACGGCGACGTGATGCGACGAGACTGCGAAGCGTCTACCAACCCTGATACTCATATTGAATCTATTGCGGCTTGGGCGCTGAAGGATGGGCGAGATGCAGGTATGTTTGTCTCTTTCTTATATGTACCAGTGCTGATCAAAGGATAGCCAGGGGATATGGGACTCTCTCCGCCAGAAGCGAGTCCTATTAATCCACAATGCCTCTTCCGAAGCTAAGACGGGAAGTAGATTAATTTCCTCTAGGTAATCATCAAGTTACCATGTGTGGACAAGACTGACAATAGAATACACGGTTTAAATAGTTCAAGCTGAAGCTCTGTGTTTGTCAATGTTGCGCGAATAGTTAAGGGTACATGTCTCAACCAATGTATATCAATGTATACGTTATTCTACTTGCGAATAGTTTTGTTCATTATGTGTGTTTCTGCTACAGGTATAGTGACAACGGCTCGCGTTACACACGCGTCTCCAGCTGGCGCGTACGCCAACGTGGCCAACCGAATGTGGGAGAACGATGCGAGTGTCGTTGAAGATGGCGGCGACCCCGAGCGCTGCCCTGACATAGCGCACCAGCTTATCAATATGAGCCCTGGGAATCAGTTCAAGGTAGGTGAAGGTAATTTATAGATCGGTAAAATCTACCCTAAAATATACCGTCTTTATTTGACATAATTATTTACGGTGTTACGAAATCAATACTGTGTTAATTTCTATAGGTAATATTGGGTGGCGGAAGAAGAGAATTCTTACCTGTCAATGTAACCGATGAGGAAGGTTCGCCCGGCTTACGCCACGACAATCGCGATCTAATTCAAGAATGGGAGGAAAACAAAGCGTCACAAAACGCCAGCTATGCTTACGTTTGGAATAGGGAACAGTTAATGAACCTGTCAACGTCCATGCCGGACTATCTGTTGGGTCTATTCGAGAGCAGTCATATGCAGTTCCACTTGGAAGCCGACAATATAACCGAGCCCACCCTCGCGGAGATGACAGAAATAGCAATAAAGTCTTTAAGACGCAACGAGAAGGGCTTCTTTCTGTTTGTGGAGAGCGGGCGCATTGACATTGGCCACCATGGCAACCTAGTGGAGTATGCGCTGGATGAGACCATACGCATGCACGATGCGGTAAAGGTCGCCACCGAGTTGCTACTCGAAGAGGACACTTTGATCGTGGTTACAGCCGACCACGCGCACGTGATGTCTTTTAGTGGCTACGCATTTCGCGGTGGTGATATCCTCGGGGTTTCTGGTAGTCAGGACTGGCACCGAATGCCCTATATGACGCTCTCATACGCGAATGGTCCGGGCGCGCGGATGCAAGTGAAAGGCGTCCGCCGTAATTTGACAGAAGAGGAAAACTTCAGGAAAAAAGGATGGCGATCGCATGCAGATGTTCCAATTCCCTATGAGAGGCACGGTGGTGATGACGTGGGTGTGTTCGCTCGGGGCCCGCACCATGATATGTTCTCTGGCGTTTTCGAAGAGAGCCAGCTGCCGTATTTGATGGCGTACGCCGGCTGCTTCGGCCCTGGCCCACACGCTTGTAACGCTGGCCCAGTGGCACACACCCCGGTCTTTTTATTGGGTATACTAATTGTATATCAAATACGACTATAAGAGACAAATGGAGGTATTCGTAGTTAAGCAGAAACGACTCAGCTTGCTAAAATCATTTCAAAGTTCGTCTTTGTTAGACTAGCATTTTGGCCAAATTAAATAATAACGGATCTTCAATGTAGACTAAGTTTCTAAAGAAATAAACCATTTCTTCATTAATTCCATAAGTATTACTTAAAATTCTTATAATATAAAATTACTTCAGAATTTCTGCTAACAACAAGAACAAAAGGTTGAATGATTCACTAATAGCTTCGTTCACAAAGTGATATAACACTCAGCGCTTTCCCGAATAACCAGCGAACAATAACAACATTTAATTGTCAAATTCCTATCATTCGGAGCAGATACCATTTCTGTTGAAAGCGGAAGAAAGAAAACTGCTCAAAGATGGCTCCCACTTAAGGAAATTGCCGTAATAAGACAATCGGCAACGAAAAGAAATCCGCCATTTGCGAGCGAGAGACTTATGGCCGTCAAATTCGTATTTTCCGTGATGTAGGTCCGTAATTTTTACAAATTGAGGCAATGATGATAACGCGTCCGTTCAGGTTTTGTTTGCCCTGTCAAAGTTTTAAACTATATCTGAGTCTGCTACTGAAACAAAAATAAATGTGTAGGTAAATAATACACAAGTGATTATGAAAGCAACGTTATTAATGGAAGAAATAATTAAAAGAAAACCTCATCAAAAATACCACGAAAGTCACTACGTGGTATTTTCTACGAAATGATTACGGGTTTCGGTAATGAGGAACAGCTGAAAGAAAAGGTGAAAGTTATGTAGGTACGATACGATTAACACGGTTGGGTCCCGATCATTGTGGTAAAAATGGAAAAATCTTTGTCAATGAGAAGACAAATACTTTCTATAGCGTACGTAATAAGATATATTAAATTATGAAATTATATTTGGCACCATATCAATTATTAAATATCACAACTAGATTATTAATGTTCTTTCTACTACACTCTGGAAGTCCAGTAATGGACTTCATAAAAACGTCGCAGCTAGCCTTGGATCGGTCGAAATTATAATAACAATTAAATACACCTCTCTATTCACTGGTGTAATCCATCCATCTTTTCGCAATAAAAGCCAATTGAAAACAGAACGAACAATAAGAGATCCCTCCCATTTGACTGATAAACTTTAACAAAAGAAAGAGCAACGAAGACAAATCTACAATGGTGATTAAACGCAGCGTCAATTATTCGATGCCAAAGATTGGATTGCTTTTGTTTCTGGGCACACAGATTATCATATTCCCAGATACAATCCTTAACAACTTGCAAATGAATGGCTTTGACTTGCAATGAGTCTTTGTTACGCCTCATTTTCATACCCTGATCGCAAGTCGATGGACTAAATTTTTGTTGTTGTTTTGTCTTGTTTACTGGTTGGTAATGCTTTTCATTAACCTTTAACCGACGACGTGATATTTTTGTCACGCCGTCTGCGACGTGCGGTCTGTGGGACCGCTATACTGTTTACTCAAAAAATAATCATTTTTTGTATAAAAGTATATTGATTTTATATTTTTCGAGAACATTATAGTATTACAAATAAACATACAAATAATTTGTGAGGAATCAATGTATATTATTTATTTAAATATGGCTAAAACTTTTTAGACGCTTAATTTAATTGAAATAACACTAGAGCTCAATAATACCTATATAACTTGTAAATTTTAATCAAAGCAAGAAAAACTATACTCCTTCCTAAATATAGTGAACATAATGAATAAAATAAAAATAAATGACACGTACATTACATGCATAAAAAAAAATTTGACTTATGGTAAACATTAGGCACAATATGGGACATTTTTTTTTACCGCATGCCAATCATTTCCGGTATACATAGGTAACACCTGTAAGATAATTTCGTTTTCAATTTAGGTGGACTAAAATGTACGTCTTTTTTGCAGCTGGTGCAATGACATCAGGCTGATTTGGCATGTCAGAGCCTAGAATACATGTCACTGTTTGCTTTACCACCCATTTCGCGGTATTTTTTACAGACTACCATCTATTACATAATATTATGTCCAAATATCAATATATCATTAGGAAATGTCTTTTCCTAGGTTGTGGTGGCCCAGGATCCATCATTTTCACGAAAAATAAGTCGTCTAAAACAAAAACGCAAGTTTTAGTAGGGTACAAAAATGTCACGTAGTCTGCGACGTGCGGTCCCACAGACCGCTGTTGAACTTTAAATCGAATTATCTTATTAAAACTGCCCTCATCGATGTAACCACTACCTGTAATGGCGTTTGGGCAACCAAATTCGAAGGTACTGAGACGCTCGGGACATGGGAGTAAGTAGAACATTGCAATCCAGAAATTTCAAAAACCGGAGCGGTCTGTGAGACCGCACGTCGTCGGTTAAAGGTTAATGATTTTTCTCTTGCTTAAGATTAATAAGATTACAAATGGAATACACAATACATCATAAGTGGAATCCACTCACACACATTATGCTTCGTAAGAGAAATAAGTAAAGTGTATGTATTCTGAAAGATGTCTTTACAATTTTAGATTAGCTGTATCTTGTAAGCTTATGCTTGTATCGCTAAGAAAAAAGTAAATTGATAAAAAGGTTTCTTTCTTTCTCCCAAAAAGACAGCGTAATAGGTAATGTATGTCTGATTAGCTAAAGATTATGTACCTACTTTTTGTTGACTTGAATTTGAAGGAACGCAGAGCTAATTAAAATTCCCCCTATAAACTCAAATTATTATCGTTGTTACGCTAAGTGTAAATGAGAAAAACACAGCGTTATTCATAATAATTTTAATTGCGACTTTTTTTTTAATTCAAGAAGGCATAATGAAAATGTTCACAATGAAAAAAGGACCGGTTTTATTTCACAATTTCTCACAACCTTAATGGCTCACTTGCTCGCGCTCAAATGCTACGCTTTATAAATTGGGGTGACTTTTTTCAAATGTCAGATAAGTTTTCTTTTGCATAATTTCCGACGAAATTAACTCCAGTTTTGGGCTCCACGTAATGTATTTTAAATTGAAGAGTTTTGACGATTTTTAAATTTAGGTTTGTGAGAAACTCACTATCGATAATAATTTAATTAATTATTACTAAATAAATTCTACGTCTGCGTCAATCAAAATTATAATAATGACCCAATTCCTAAATAAATGCATGCAATGCATCCATAAATAATACTCGCTACATTAATTCGCAGGTGAATTTACCATATTCTGAATATCTAATAACGATGTATTCTGAGTTTAATTATTGAGTAGAACGTAATAATCATTGCAAAATATATTAGTATCATTGTTGTGTATAATGATAAATGTAATGACGCAGTTTTGCCACATAATAGGTTTATTTTATTTATAAGATAACTAAAATATTTATAGCAGAAAATTCGTACCTATAGACTGGTGATCCATTATCATGATAATGATGAATTAATTATATTATTATCATTTGTCATAAAACAAGTAGAGACCAATGCTATCGATTAGTCGATACCCATTTTTCCACAACATTATCTCAGACTGCAGAAAATTATAATCAGTTAATCCCACGAAGGGAAGAGGGCTGTAATGAAAAGAAAATTAGGTCTTCTTGTTAAACAATAAGTTGAGGGTTCGTCCTAACGAAGGATTAAGACACCTGTTGTTCAAGTGCAATTATTTTCGGACGTGCCTTGGAGTTTGATAACAGAGTAGTACTTCATTAGTAAATCCAGTGCTATGCTCGGTTTGTGAAGTACTTTCAAAGCTATGGCCAAGTTACAGGACTATTAAGTGTTGATAAAACGTATCTATTGAAATAATGTTAAAGAGTTTATTGATTTGTGTACAGGTAGGTAGTCCCCTCTGAATTACTATGGATAAAAAAAATCATTATCGAAAACTGATCAGTTGATTGAAGAAGCTTATTCAAATACTAGACAACATAAGTGTTTCATGCATCTACTCGTACTTTTTACATAATAAATTACAGTATACGAGTGTATAAAATCATCAGTAGGTATTATACAATTTTGAATGACATGACTGTTTTATTTACTCGAACCAACAATATTAATAATTTATTTAAGCCTCTAAAGTAACGTTAAAAATGTTGTACTACGTGTATTAAATACCTACCCGTATTTAAATTATAAAAATCGCAATCCATCTTTCTGTTATGTTATTTCAAAATACGGTGGATACAAGGATTTATCTAAAACAATCTGATTAACAAACATCCAGTTTGTAACCGAGTCGTTTTGTTAAAGTTGTTTTTAATTTGGGTTTCCTTGGGTCTGTCACGAATTTTACGACAAACATAAAGCCCTTCAGCTCGTAAAGGAATTTGATGCTAAATTGATTAGGTATTGGGGAAAGATAAATTGAAACGTTTCGGTCAGTTGGGGAGATTCGCGTAAACAGTATTTTTTCTAAGTGGTTGTACTAAAATAAAATAAATAAAACACAATTAGCAAAAGTGTGTTGATGCTGTACCTATATTTTCCAGAGTCAAATAATTTGGAGCGTCGCTTCGTATTAACTAACCGAATTTAAATCAATCTTAAATACAGACAGTTAGGGTGGGTTGCACCATCTTACTTTGACAGTAATTATAACGATAACCAGTGCTTTTTGTATAGAGTTTGACAGATTTTTGACGTTTGTCAAAGTTAAAGTAAGATGGTGCAACCAAGCCTTAGAAGATAATTTGGTACGTCGGATGAATTTAAAACCCCGATTTCACACCAAAAATCAGTTCTAATTAGATCTTAAAATACTGAGGTCTCACCACAAAATCATAAAAGATCATAACACAGTAGACTCCATATTACTTTTTTTATATTACTTTTTTCTTCGGTTTAGTTTTGTGCTATCTCCTGAGGTGCAAAATAGGTTTTCCATTTAGCAAATTATCATAAGATACGGAATTATTTGAGTATTTTCTACCTAACCCTTAGTTTCACACACAAAAATCAAGCGGCTTGAGAAAGAGGTGTCAGCAGTCCGTAACCGACTCCATAGAACTAAT